TCCTCCTCCTTTTTTCTTCTCTTCTCTTTCCCCTTCTTCTTTGAAGGTGAATATTAGAGATCAGATGAAAATGTAACCAAGGCTGAAGCAGAAACGGAAGGATAGATGGCTTGTACATGTGAGTTGCTTTGAATCAGTATTTCTACATTTCCATCCATGCCTACTCCACTCTATTTCTTGGACCAAATCCCAACAGTCCAGCTCTGTTTGGTAGATTAAGATCTTCAGCCATGCTAAGAAATCTGAATATGGCCAAATGCCTGCCTTGTTTTGAAGCCCATTTTTTTCATGCTTTTTGTTAGTTTGGTCATCAATGCATCAATTTGACATTAATTTTGTCAAATTGGTTCTGGAAATTTTCAGTTTGTGTTTAAATAGTTCTTATGGGCCGTTAGTGTTTTTGACAAAAATCACGTGTCATTTTTTCAATCAGTATCATATAATTTACGTGTGATTATTTTCGTAAAAAACTTAACAATCTATTTTTGTAGGGATTATTTAAACATGAAATGAATAATTTAAGGATCAAATTGATAAAATTTATACACTTAAGGACTAAAATGAACAATAAAAACTAACGAACATGATATATTATGGTATTTTTAATACATGGAGGGTGTAAAATAATTTTTTCGGAGAATTACATTTGGACCTCTAGAGATTTGTGATTTAATCACTTAGACCTTCTGACATTTGAAATATTACACACAGATCTCTTAAAATTTATACGTACGTAATATTTAGTCATTTACTATAAAATGTTATTTAGTCATTTACTATAAAATGTTCGTTAGTAAATTACACTTAGATAGATCCCCTGAAATTTGTAAGCGTATAATATTTAGACTCCTCGTGTTTAAAATGTTATATTTAGGCCAAAAAAAATTTAATTAAATATAGAATATTAAATATTTTAAAAATTTATAATTAATATACAATTATACTATCTATTGGAATAAAATTAAAAAATCAAATAAGAGGTCAAATTGTAATAAACATAATATATTCTAACTTTAATTGGGGTTATTTGGTTGTTTAAATAACCAACTTAAATTCCAATAGATAGTATAATAGTATACTAATTATGATTTTTTAAGAAAAATTAAATTTTTAATTTTAATTTTATTTAAATAAATGTCAAAATAGAAGATGAATTTTAGTTGTAAAATTTAAAATATCTGATAATCTATCTTTGTTTACTGTATTTTTTGTCTAAATATAATATTTTAAACTTGAGAGATCTAAATATTATATGCCTACAAATTTTAGGGGGTTTGAATATAATTTATTAACGGTTACACTAACGACAGAGTTTTAAGTGTTACGCACTTACAAATTTTAGAGAGTTTATGTATAATATTTAAAATGTCATGGGTCTGAGTGTAATTTTTCCTATTTTTTTTTAAATTTTTTAGGTACAAAATACAATTTTCACTATAAATTTTGATTGTAAAGTTCATGTCATCATCAATTATGTTTTTAAATTGAACTATTCATTAAATAGTTTTAATCAATCACCTCAATCATTAATTAAAATTTAAAAAAGACAATTCAATATATGAAAATTTCTATTATTATGAAGTTAAAAGAGGATTAATTGTATATTGTCTTACTCGCACGAGGATAAGGTAATTGTAAAATTCACATGGGTTTTAGTTTTTTTTTTAATAAGGTATTCAAGTTTGTGTTGATTACTCCTTCAAGCGAGTTTAAAATTTACCGCTCAGGAACAAGGATAGTTGGCCTTTAAATATATAAAGTATTGAACGATAAATTTTTGAATTATCAAATGTGGGACTCAGACACTAGATGGACCAAGATGTGATTTATTGGTGTGACTGTGACTGAAGGTCCTGTGACACAAAAATTCCTTATTCATTCTTTATCCAGATTTATTTCGAAAATGTGTAAAAAAACCTCATTCACATATTAACCGTTTCTAACAACCCATGCGCGCTCTTATCAAACTTAAGCCTTCCACTCGTCACTCTCTGAAACCCCAACATGTCCTCTCTTTTCCATCCATCTCTGTCCCTCTCCTTCCAAACCCTAACCCTAGTTTCCCCAAATGTCAAAACCCACAATCCCAATCCAACCCTCAACCAGTTTATCATCCTCTTCCCATTCTGCCCTCCAAATGCTTGTCAAATTGCGTCACCCAGTCCTACCCGCCAAACACAACAAACTCTCTTTCAAAATCCTCTGTTCTTCACAACCCTCAAACCCTTCTTCCGATCAAACCTTTACCCTTAAGTCGATTCTTCTTGCAATACCCAATTGGGCCGATAGCATAAAAGAGAGGCGTATGCAACAGAAGAGGTCCTTGTATGATCATGAGCAGTGGTTACAGCATAGAAGTTCTTCAAGACATATAAGGCATTTTTTGTCGAGTCTGAATTCGCGGGTGATTCTATCGTTGGTTCCTCCAGTGATCGTGTTTACATCAGTGGCAGTGATTATTGCTAGTTATAATTCTGCAGTTTCAATGCATTGGTTGCCAGAGTTTTTTCCTGTTTTGAGATCTTCTTCATTGCCTTATCAGTTGACAGCGCCCGCACTGGCACTTTTGCTAGTGTTTAGAACAGAAGCGTCGTATTCAAGGTTTGAAGAAGGGAGAAAAGCTTGGACAAAGGTGATTTCAGGGACTAATGACTTTGCCAGGCAAGTGATTGCCATCAGTGTGGAGAGTCCGAGTGATGCATTGCTAAAGAAGGCACTGTTGCAGTACATCGTGGCATTTCCAGTTGCCCTTAAGGTCGGTAAATTTGTTTTCATCAGGTAAGGCTTCTTACATCCAACCCGGAGAGTGTTGTGCACTGGACCACCCATTTTTTAGTTTTTGAGGGTTACTATTGGGATGGGAAGACATAGATGTCTTCCGTCAAGTAACTATGTATTCCACAGACTAATTGACATATTATCGAATGCAAAAATTATGTTAACCTTAAGTACTATTATTAAATTCATATTCGACCACCATGATTTAAAGATAGACATTTGGGTTAATTTCATCGTACAACAAGTACCCAATTGTCGATTTGTTCATTTGGTTTTGTATTGTGTTTAACGTGGCACTTGAAAGTATGAGTTATTATCCAATAGGGGCAACTATAATACAGATTATTGCTGCCTTTTATAGCATATGATGTGCTTTAGATTTCATATCAGAATGTCAAGTTTTGCTTTCAGAGACAGAATAATGATGTAAACTTTTGAATGCAGTGCCACTTGATTTATGGCTCAGATATTGCGGGGGACCTTAAAAATTTGCTTGAAGTTGATGATCTTGCAGTAGTTCTCAGTTCAAAGCATAGACCTCTTTGCATCATTGAGTTCATCTCTCAAAGCCTTCAGATGCTAAATTTGGAGTCGTCAAAGTGGAATGTGTTGGTAATTTCTTTCTTGGATGTATCAAATATTCAAATGTGTTTTCTGAGTTTATTGGTTACAGAATATGATATAAGACATTTTTTATTTTGTTTCATGTTGTGTTTCCTATGTCAGACTCTAAACATGGAATAAACAATGAAATAGTTGTTATGAAAGCTGATGAAGAACTTTAACAATACTTTCGTGATATGAATTTGGATGACTTGTATCGAGGATAAAGAATTATCAGTCATGTCATGATCTCTGAATAGTATTGCAGGAATCGAAGATCTCTTGTTTCCATGAAGGTATTGGAGTTTGCGAGCAGCTCATCAGTACACCTATCCCTCTGTCATACACTCGCTTGACTTCAAGGTTTTTGGTCCTATGGCACCTCACACTTCCCATTATACTTTGGGAGGATTGCAAATGGATTGTGGTTCCTGCCACTTTTATCAGTGCCGCTTCTTTGTTTTGCATTGAAGAGGTCTCTCTCTCTCTCTCTCTCTCTCTCTCTCTAATGTCTGTCTTTCACTAATCTGTTGGAGCAGAAAGAAAACACAGTGTTACTCCATGTAACTAAACACAACTTAGTGAAAGGGGTTGAAAACTTTTTCAATTGTCTAGCATGTCGCAGGGCCACAATCTATGTGCAACAATTGGATGTCAAATGCACACCCATAGACATTGTATTTTCTCGTGCCCAATATTTTCTTTCTTCCGACATCCAATCTGACTAGGTAACGAATAGGCGATGGCGGTATTGTATATAAAGGAGTTTGTGGATTTTTTAAGTTCTTGCCTTCTCCTTTGCCTTCTCTTTCTTTTTGCCGGATTCAGCACCCGTAAATCCTATGTCACAAATGGGTGTGACCCATATTTGACACCAATAAGTTATGGGGGCGTCCCTCAGTGCCAAGTTCCTTTCCATTTAAACAGGGAGAGGAAGCATTTTATTTGTACTGGATGAAATATTGTTTCGTTGCCCACGAGGATCAGTATGTGGATGGACCTTCCTCTTGTAATTTGACATTGTGGAGGACAGTAACACACTCTCTACCCTCCACGGGGGCACCCCCTATCCTTCCACCCATATTTCCGTCCTTTTAGGTGTAAGAATCAACAGGGGCTGATAAGAACTTCATGGGAACCTTGAATCGGTACCTGGTTAACTCCTAGGTACAGAACTTCTCTATCAATTTCTGCATTGCTTGTTCAGCACCTAAAATGTTTGTCATTTATGGATCTTTGCAGGTGGGTGTTCTTATAGAGGAACCCTTTCCTATGCTGGCACTTGACGAACTGTGCAAGCTGGTTCACAACAGCATCCAGGAAGCTATAACTAATGAGAAAAAGATTCAAGCACAACTTAATGCAAAGAGAAAGAGTCATTGTAGTGAGCATTCACCAAATGGTCGGCCTACCATTTAAGTGGGCATTAAGCTTTGGGTTATAAAGATCAATAGAAGATGTATATGTATCTCCAATCAACGTGTATTAGTATAAGGTTTTGCAGCCTCTGTAATCAAAGACGTTCAAATTGTGAGCCAAGTGTTTCCAAATTTGTAAAGATAAACTGGTTTACACGCGAGGGCCTGTGTCAGGTTCGTATCTGTATATAATAGAATATTGCTCTCAGAAAGTATAGTCTTATANTGTTTCCAAATTTGTAAAGATAAACTGGTTTACACGCGAGGGCCTGTGTCAGGTTCCTATCTGTATATAATAGAATATTGCTCTCAGAAAGTATATTCTTAAANCAAGTGTTTCCAAATTTGTAAAGATAAACTGGTTTACACGCGAGGGCCTGTGTCAGGTTCGTATCTGTATATAATAGAATATTGCTCTCAGAAAGTATAGTCTTATAGTGCTCTGTTACTCAGATTAAGGGCTTGCAATGTTGTAGCCTGTATTTAAGCTTGATGCTCTAGCATAGCTTTTGGGTCCATGGACATGTCTTTCAGGGTTTTTCGGCTAGATTTTGGCCCCTCCACCTTGCTTGAGAGAGGCAAATCAAGAGAACAAGTGCAGTTACTTTTGGCATATGTACATACTATTCATCTGGCCCTAACACAACATAAGGCTGCTTTATTGTGAGTCATTACAAGAGTGAATTATAGAGACAAAGCCTCTCTGCACGCAAGAGTATGACTGCTTACGTCTGACAGCATAGTGAATAGAGCCTAATGTAGTGTACTGCTCTTAGTACCTACTCCCATTAATATGTTATTTACAGGGCCCACAAGTAACCCAAAAGACCTTCCATCTACAGTGCAAACTAAAATAAGGGTGGACATAGGAGAAACCACCTGAGTCTGTTACCTTCAAATACAATAATGTCAGAAACACAAACGTGTTACCATCAGTTGTATGGAGATGCATTGGTACAATTCAACCCCAACCACCAAGGCACGTCAACATAAAACCCTGACAATAAGTTCAATATGTATCATTTTGAAAACTTCATCTTCGTAGAGGTTCAAATTGCAATAGTTTTACAGCTAATTACATCACCTAGAGAAATCCATTGTCGTACAGAAGAACTCATCAACACCCCACCAGCATTCCCCGCATTCCCAACATCCACCACCACCGTTCTCAGCCCCTTTCCTATGACAAAAATGCTCTTTCCGATTGCAACAAGCCGACATGGTGGCATTGTGAATAGAGATGACAGCCTCCCAATTGCCACCCATTCCCTCTTACCCTTACACCACATCATCAATCGTGTTCCAGAACTCTGATCCAACACGTAGAGGGTATTANATAAGGGTGGACATAGGAGAAACCACCTGAGTCTGTTACCTTCAAATACAATAATGTCAGAAACACAAACGTGTTACCATCAGTTGTATGGAGATGCATTGGTACAATTCAACCCCAACCACCAAGGCACGTCAACATAAAACCCTGACAATAAGTTCAATATGTATCATTTTGAAAACTTCATCTTCGTAGAGGTTCAAATTGCAATAGTTTTACAGCTAATTACATCACCTAGAGAAATCCATTGTCGTACAGAAGAACTCATCAACACCCCACCAGCATTCCCCGCATTCCCAACATCCACCACCACCGTTCTCAGCCCCTTTCCTATGACAAAAATGCTCTTTCCGATTGAAACAAGCCGACATGGTGGCATTGTGAATAGAGATGACAGCCTCCCAATTGCCACCCATTCCCTCTTGCCCTTACACCACATCATCAATCGTGTTCCAGAACTCTGATCCAACACGTAGAGGGTATTATCTACCACAACTGCTGGACCTCGCCAGCCTGAAACCATGTCATCGTCTGCATGCTCCCACGTGCCGCTTGATAGATTATAGACAACTGCATACACATGGGATGATACAGCAGACGAACCGCAACGGATATAGATTTTGCCATCGAAAACCATTGAATCTTCGATATCAGGAACAACATTGGGATCCACGTGAGATTTCCAAGTGTTGGTGTGGGGATCATAAGTGTCCCAAGAACATGGATCACTTGATTTTGGTCCTTGCCCGCCAATGGCATAGATTTTGTCATCTAAGGCCTCACAAGCAAAATAGCACCTGAATGCATTTAAAAAATCAGCACAAGTTTTTTCTTATTCAGAAACTTATAAACCCTACTTTGATAAACCTTCAATAGAATCCTTTACACTACAGCAATTCCAAAGGTGATTTCTCAATTAATGATTAGGTAAAGCCANCACAAGTTTTTTCTTATTCAGAAACTTATAAACCCTACTTTGATAAACCTTCAATACAATCCTTTACACTACAGCAATTCCAAAGGTGATTTCTCAATTAATGATTAGGTAAAGCCATGTGCCCAAATTTGTGTACCAAATTTCTTGCACCAAATGATGTGGCACAACCATTATCATTAGATATTTAGTGGGAGCCAATGGGACCCATTAACCTAATAATCCAGACAGATTTAGTGCAAAATTCAGTAGAAGATTTGGTATATGTAGAACCACTGTTACTAGTTTCACAGATGCAACAACATTGGAATCAGAAGGTCTAGCTCATTGGCTGTGATAAGAAGACTGAGAAAGAAAGTTCTAATATGAGTTTTGCTGTCACTGAGCAATCGTGGAAAATGTCAAAAAATAAAGTTGTTTAAGATTCAATAGGTCCAAAAAGGATTCTGGTAAAAGGTGGCTAGCATATCTAGTTCCATTCAGAAAGAGTCGAGCAAAAAATGGCAATAATCGGACACTTTTTTGATAAGGAGAAACTGGTTCCAGCAGCATGATAATAACAATAATTTCGAGAATGGGTAGGTTGTCAACTTATCTGGCAAAAATATATTTTCTATGCATGCAAAAGAGGAAAATGTTCATATAGGTGGTGATTGGTGAACAAAGATTTACTTTACATAGAATTTAAATCATTCAATTATACTGTGCAAGATTCTGAGCACAAAAATAAAAGTGCAGAGGAATACCTTCCAGTTGATAAAGGAGGAGCTTCATTCCAAGAGTTCATAGAAGCATCGTAGCAGTAGACTTCATCACAAGCATCTTCATACCAACAACAGCCACCCAGAATGTATGCTTTGTTTCCCAACACTTCAAAGCCCATACCTTTTCTCTTCAAGCTGCGGAGTGGAAGGCCTCGGATGCACTTCCAACCCCTTCTCAGCTGATTGGGGTCTAACACATAACAGTGGAGCTGCTCTTCCTGGTCTCTACACAAAGCATAAATCCAAGTCTCATCCAAATTATGCTTGCGACGGTAAAAATACCACTCTTCACTGCATACTAGCTCTCTCCATCTCTTTGAAACACATTTGAGGAGTGCATGATATTCCCGAGCAACCCTTGCCAAGCACAAAAAAGCAATGTCATCAGGAAGGCCACATATCAGTGGTGATTGGGCTGAATCTGTTAATATAAACCGTTGATCCATTTTCCCGTACGTTCCAGAGCTGTGCTACTATTGAAGCCCTCCAAATTCTTACGCTGCCTTAAAAGGCTTCCAGGTCTGCAACACTATAAAAACGTGCAGTTGGACAATCATTTACTGTTACATCACAGTTCTAAATCCAGCTCACCTAAATTCATCTGAAAAGATTTCTTGGACGACTAGTTCAACAAATTATTGAGAGGAAAGCATAATTATGGCAACAATAAGTTTCCTGAACTTAAAACCCAGAAATCAACTGCATGATTAAACCCATTCAATCGAAACATAGTCAGAAGCAGAAATTCTGAAAGACATAGTATCAGCCACTGTTTGGAGTTCTGGTAGCATCCACTTGAATTGAAGTTAGTCTTTTAACATAGATATGAAAAAAAAAAATCAGCAATTTTAATCTGAGTCTAACATAATATCGATCGAAATACAAGCTGAACTGAAATGACAAAATGTAAGAATTTGAATGCTACTAATATATAAACACTGCAAGAAAATTCGGAAATGCTGCATTTGTTATGTCGGGAATGTTACCAGCATTTCACTAAATGTGGGGAAATGCTTCTTTGTTTACACGAAATGGTTTCCTTCCTTCTTGTACGCCGTTGTTCACGGTGAAACATAACCAAGATTTTGTACAAGTTAGGTTATCTGCTNTGTGGGGAAATGCTTCTTTGTTTACACGAAATGGTTTCCTTCCTTCTTGTACGCCGATGTTCACGGTGAAACATAACCAAGATTTTGTACAAGTTGAAGCCTCCATATTTCTGGTTTGACTTGCTATTTGGCATTTTTTTTTCCTTTTATATCTTGTTCTTGTCCATAATAAAATCTAACCAATTAAGTTAAATATAACATCTTTGTGCAATTCATCCATCAAACATTCATTCAATTTACTAATCACATCCACCAAAATATGTCATATTGTATCCAAAGTACATTGAAAGATAATCTTATAAAAAAGAATTCCAACAAAATTGTCTTGACGTATTACTTGTTTGGGGTAACCTAAACTTAAAGACAAAACCACCCATATAAGCAGGAGCATTTAAGTACAGGCATGTATCACAGATTCTAGAAAATTTACATCACAGTTGATAACATCTTTCAATTTCAATCTCTTCGGTCGATGGACCTGCATTTAATATACATAATTACAAATATTAATATGAAATATAAGTAATTGTGAAAATTTGGATTAGCAGCACGTGGAATGAATCCAATCAATAAAATATAGCAAATTAAACATGTTAGCCAGTATTGTCATAAATTTATAACTTCTGAAGTTATAAATTCCGCATATTCCTATAGCAAAAAGTCAGGCTCATCAATACCATCACTAAGACTGATAATTACCAACATATGCTCAGCATTTCCAATAAGTTAAAAGCACAGAATTTTATTCCAAGCACAAAAAAAGGAATTGGATTTGTCACACCACAGTGTTGACATAGCATATTAAGGGGTGATCAGGCATCTCAATCTCATGGATAACCACTGAAAAAACATTATATATCCTCCTATTTCCAATGCAATGGTATTAATCACAGGCAACATTTGTGAAAGTGCTTAGTGGGTAGCAAATATGTGCTATGTATTATTCAAAAAAACAAAGAAAATGAACTATCAATAGCATATATAAAGCATGTTACTATAATTCTATCGACTGGATTCATACTGGCGCGACGATCCGAAACCTAACTGTTGAAATGTTGTCTGAAAGCTCTCAGACCATCCACTAAAGCTCAAATCTGCGGGCACAGCTCTGTTCCCTTAAACAGGAACTTGGAGAGAAAGAGAGAGAGGAGGGGGGGGGGAATAGGAACGTTAAATCGAGGATTAGGAATTTCCTCAAATTGAGACGATGTCGTTTTTAATTGGTGGAAACATATCGATCAAATCAGATACGAGCGATAAAGGCACGTAGTGATCAGATTCAATTCCACAAACCACAAGCTGATGGAATGTAATTTTCCAAAGAAAGCGCAGAGGATCGATTAAAAACTGAAAACTGACCTCTCTGGTAGTCCAGATCAAGAGGAACGCTACTACAGTAGAGTAATCAATCACAGAGGAAATCAATGAGGAAGAAAGAAGATGCAAGTAATGTAACGGGATTGGGTTGCCGCTACTGCTATGACATACAAAGTCTGATTGGACCCTTACGGGTGTGGTTCAATGGTTGATTGAGTCTCACCTCCGGTAATTCAGAGTCAGGTTGACATGTTGGTCGGGAAGAGGTTCTAAATTCGGTCAGGTTACGCGATACTTGCTCAATATCCAAGCTCGTAGCGGCGTAAATCTGTACATTTATAATAAAAAATAATAATAATAATAAGGATTAATTATACTGGAAATTTATTTTTATTTTTAATATTTATTGAATCTGTTTTTATGTGCTCTTTCAAGCAGACAACGTCCGAATTGCTAATAATTTTTTATTATAAATTTGCCACGCAATATTTATAAATGGATAAAAAATAATTTGGATAATTTTTGACCAATTTTCTTTCCCAATTTTACTCAAAAAACTACTCTAATTATACAGTTTTGATCATGNTGCTCTTCCAAGCAAACAACGTCCGAATTGCTAATAATTTTTTATTATAAATTTGCCACGCAATATTTATAAATGGATAAAAAATAATTTGGATAATTTTTGATCAATTTTTTTTTCCAAATTTTACTCAAAAAACTACTCTAATTATACAGTTTTGATCACGAGCTATCAAAATTGTGGTAAATAACTATCCAATTTATTTTTTACCCATATTTATGTATCACGTATTAAGTTTTATGATAAAAAAAATAGTTAACAATTTAAATGTTGTCTACCTGAGATACCACATAAAAAAATATTCAATATTTTCAAGGACTAAACTGATGCAATAAAAATAATGGGACTAAAATTAGATAAATTATATAATTTAGTAACCTCCGGTGCAATTAACCCTAAAAAAAAATGTATACTAAAGCAACCTTTTCCCCGTTCAAATGTGTTCAAATTTCGTTTTTGTTACTATTTATTAACAATGCTGTTTGAACCCTTGGGTTGGGTACTTCCATGGATCATAATAATAATATAGGAAAATGTTTTGTCACAAGTTTGTTCATAAGTATTTTGACACTTTGAAATTTACTTTATTCATAATCCAATTGTGTGATTAATCACTTAATTTTATTTGACAAATGAAATTTTTCTACAATAACAGTTTTGTAGAAGACATAAACTTCATGATCATGTCATGTTGGTTCTCCGGACATTTTTTCTATCATTCTATGTGTTATTCGAATTAATAGCTTAGATTCAAGAGTTCAACGACTAACGATGGGAAACTTATGCAAGAGATTTACAAGTTTAGAGATGAANGTGTTATTCGAATTAATAGCTAAGATTCAAGAGTTCAACGACTAACGATGAGGAACTTATGCTAGAGATTTACAAGTTTAGAGATGAAAATCCTAAAACATAACTTAATTTTTAAGAACCAAAATGTAAGGTTTAAATTTAAACGTTAATAGGTCATTGATTATACCGAGTTAATGGCCCATTTGGGTAGTCGATAAATTAAATTTATCATGCTAAGAATGAAAAATGGAAGATCTATCTCGTTCACATGTCACTTTAGTATGAGAGGATTATATCATGTGTTTGATGAATGATGATGCATTGTATTGAATATTTACCATTCGCCCAATGGGTATGCCCCTGCCCCCTACCACAGGGCCTCCATGCCTTCCATTGTAGGCATGGTAATTTCAGTACAATTCAAGTATTTGATACGAATTAACATTAAATTAATGGAATTGAGTTTGATTTTAATGAATTTGGGTAGTAAACGGATAGACTCGTCTAACCTATATAATAAACGGGTTGTGTTTGAATGGAGTACCACCCTAACCCATTTATCACTTGCTTACTTATTTAACAGATGACCAAATTTGTTAAAAAATTAGGTTTTTTAATTAAAATTTTATTGCATTCTAAAATTAGTGGGTAACATTTGTTGAGGTTGTGTAATCATTTTATAAAACGAATCATGATCGATTTTATAATTTGTACCCATTTAATATGAGTCCTATATAAGTTTTGAGTGACTTTTTACTCGAACTCATTAAAATCCGAAACGATTGTTGACCCTAATTTTATGGGTCAATAAATTAGATCAACCTCTAAATTTTATAAAATAGGCCAAGTAGTGCCAACAACAATAGTGTGACAGGACCCATATTTATTTTGGGTCATTTTGGAAGTTGGTACATTAAATTAGACATAATTATAAAAAAATTTACAGAATCCTAAAACTTACTTTCCTAAAAACGGTTTTAGAAATATATCTTAACATTAATTAGGTATACAGTGATAAGGCTTAACCGCTGGGTTTTATGAATGTTATTTTCCTAAAAACGATTTTAGGAATATATCTTAAAATTAATTAAGTACACAGTGATAAGGCTTAACCGCTAGATTTTATGAACATTAATTCGTGAAAAAAATTCATATTTAGAAAACAATTATCATTTCTTCTTCCTATAAAAAAACTGCTTCATTTTTCTCGGAAATAAGCCCTAAATCGTTTATTGAATATCTATAAGTTTTTGTATTTGAAAGGAAAATCCTACTGATCCACCATTGTAGGTGTAAGTTTGTATGTATTTTCTGTATAGTGTAACAAAGACAGTGTATCATCGTAACATATATAGTGTTCAATGGTTTTGTGAATGTGGTAACAAATTCAAAATAGAACTGAACTGTTACAATTAAATTATATGTAATATATGTTGACAAAATATAACAGTACAATATTTTGTTTAAGTAAATTTTTACACTATGAACCCATATACATGATAAACTTTAATTATAGTGTTCACATATAAAAAAATAGTATAATCACCTTTAAAATGACTGACATAAATCTAATGGAGTCATGAATTCAAATCTTATAATTGATTAGATTGAATGATAAGGATGAAATAATGTTTCGGACTTGATAAATTGCTTCCACGCCGAAGAAGAAGAAGAAGACAACAATAATACTGTTGCAATATTTAAAATTCAAACCAACTGATTTATCCTCAAAATAAACGAAAGAATTAAATCTTCAATTATATTAAGAGATTTTTAATGCATAAATATAATTTGTAAAAAAAAAAAACACAATTTCCAAAAATAATCTCATGATTTAAGGAAAGATACAAATATAAAAAAAAAATCTGAAAATTTTAAATTATTACTTGTACGCAATTAAAATCCCATACTAAAGATTTTCTTATTTTACATTTTTTCTATTTATTTTTTTTACAATTAAACCCAATTCTCTTCGCTTTGCTTTACCTCTGCTCCTTTACCGATCTATTTCAGGCAATGTTATGGGCTACAAGTGTTGGCCCACAGGCTGGAGTCGCTTCTCAACGGTCGAATGTTGATTTAGGCGGTTTAGGAAACAATTAATTTTTTGGCTACGAGCTAATG